AGAGCTTTTCCCGACTCTTGATATTTTTATGGGGAATATTAGGAATGGTTGGGATTAGACGACGACAAAACGTTATGGAACCATGGGTATGGGGAAGGCTATTGATAACTGTTATGTTGGGGGAAACCCAACATTTATTGATCATTTATATAGCCTTTGAGGTAGGATGACCAATTACGAAATAACATGAAATTAGTTGAACCTTATACATTAAACAAGTGACATTACTATGATATGACCTCTCTGATTATACTTATGATTTCTTGCTTACAACTTGGATGTTACACTGTAGTCTTTTTATACTGCCTATTCTTTTTCCATGTTATTTATTATACTAGCATGTTGTGATTATGTGTAGACATGTACAGTTTTCATACGAGTAGAGTATGTACACTGTTTCTTTTTCATGTGTAAAATTTTATAGTAGCCCCGATTATTTTTCTGAGTTTGTTGTTTGCTCATTCTTCGTAGTTGCCTTTTAGGTAGGGGCAACGAGCACCGAGGCGAGTAGCCGGGTGTGTCTTTTTATAACATTTGCACGATAGTTTTGAGAGCTCATGCATAAGTTTTGGGTACGTATTTTTTATGGTTTTGGATTTAACAGCTCTTTATAATTTTCATGTTTTAGGTGATTTAATTTCCTTGCTTCCGAATATGTATATGAGATGCAATGTATCACGTATCTTATGACAATCTGATTAGACTAATTCATCACCCACTGAGTTCTGATTATAAAAGTCAAGACGTGTGTTGATGAGAGTTGGTTTGATCATATTGCCAGTATTTGTCGCACCACTATTGACTCTACTTGGTGGGTTAGTTGGGGTGTGACAATTTTTCTTCCAACCTATCTCCTATAAAAACCTATAATCAAATGTTTAAGGGATTATTGTTATTTTTTAATCTTACTATTCTAAAGCAAGTTGCCTTTATTTTAGCTTTAATTTATTATATTAATCTTTGATTTATTTTAAATCATATAATCTTGTTCTTCAAATCATCTTATTATTAGTTACTATTAATTTTATACTACCATTCTTATTAATATTTAGAATTCGATCATTTTAATTTTTTTTAACAATTTTCTTAATATTATGAAAATCAACTTTAATTAAGTTTAATTATGAAGTCATTAAAATTTCAATTTTCTTTATAAGTTTAACTTTAATGAATTTCATTATTATGATGTATAATTATTCTAACGTCACTGTTGAAGGCTTTTTGCCACTAAACACCTTAAACCCTCATGAAAACCTATACAGGAAGCACCATGATTAGCTTCTCCACACTTTGAAGTCTTGGTCGAGCTCAAAAGTCTTTCTCATTCCCTTTCAAGATTGTTAGATGGTCACAGTTGAAGGCTTTTTGACTGAAAAACCCGATAGATGTTTAAGGCATAATCTCGCACCTTGCACCTATTTCTCCCTTCTTCGCTTGGCCACACAAGTACAACACCCTAGGTCATGCACACCATCAATCCTTGCGTGCTCTCCCTGCTCGAAAACTCCTTTATGCAATCAAAGTATTATCAAGCACTTATTCTTCAATTCAATGCATCAGGAATCATCTGTCATATTCCTCCTTACCATGCCGAGCCAACTTCAAGTCCGCAGTCAGCTACTCCTGCGTGGGAACTTTAATTTCCTGCTCGATGAAACCCTTCTGTCTTCTTTGAACGCCTCTTTTCCTCTCACAAAAAGAAGTCTCTTGGGGCTTCACAAGCGCGTTTGAGGCCCTCGAATACCCTCGCATTCATGGCTAGAGTAAGCACCGCTTCTTCCTTGGTTTCATTTTTCCTAGGTGTTTCTTTCTCTTCCTTCTTCTTCTCTCGCTTGATTTTTGATATTTGCTTCGTTCCTTCAGTTTTTTTTCCCAATCTCCTTCAATCTCCTCTTAAAATGTCACAAAAGCCCTCTCATACTCGATATGACTCTCTATTCTGCTCAATACGACTCTTTGCTCAATACGACTCTTTGTGTTGATGCCAAGCGTCACAGGAGAAGACAATAATTTTTCTTTATTGATTTTAGTTATTGCCGAGGTTCTCTATAGACTTTATTTATAGCCGAGGTAGATGCTCCTCAATGTTTAAAGATTTGGATAAAAAGCTGTACATGATGTTTGGGAGTGTTGTAGCTTAATTCATCCCTAATATTTTATACAAGACTTTTAATAAAATTAATAATGATCAAATATATCTAGAGGCAAATAATGCGCAAGTATAAGTTTTATAAGCCTTGCATGGTATTCAAAAACACCACGACTTTGCTTATAATTTTTAAATTGAGTATGTACTTTATTCTTATGGTCGCTATATAAAAGAATTGCATTTTATGTTGTGCTTCATATCAATATATAATGATTTTGCTTTACTTGCAACACTACTGCAAAAAGCTTGAGTGCATCCCATTAATTTCTTCTCTGCAGCTTAATCAAACATATTGTAGCTTCTAAAGAAAACTTTCAAGTCATCAGTTTACTTTGAAATTTTAAATATTTTATGTCCCGTTGAAAGGAGTATAGTTTCGAATCTCATGATATTATTGTATTATTTATTATTTTTTTAATTGATTCAAACACTAAATCTGTTGTGAATGGATGTATCACAGCAAGCACAAAATGATTAAGGTTATAGTTTGCTAATTATTTAGGCAAATTTAGTCTCTTTTGATGCAAATAAAAAACAAATAAAATTTTTTATGATAATTTAAATAATACTTAATATTAAATTAAACAAGAAATTTGAGAACAAATTAAAACCACATAATGATTTGATTCCGACTGCCAAAAAAAAAAATGTAGCTAGTAGTCAAGTCGTGTAAAAAATTTGTTGTGCGAATAAGGAGATAGTCACATGAGGCAGCAATTGAAGGTACTTGAAACTCGTGTAATGATCCACTATTCAACATTATAGGCTGTATTAGTAGCTAGTAAAGAAGGGAACACCGAACCTAACCACTGTAGGAATGGGGATTGAATAGAACATGGATATGAAAAGGACCTTTAAACAATGAATTGGCCAAAGCAAAAGTTGGGGAATCGTGCGGATAAAGGGGATTAAAAATAATTGAACCTGGGATTTCTAGTAAGACTGAATTGAAATAATACACCAAGCTGTTGAGCTAATTAAAGCATTAAAGAAAATATCTTGTTCTTATAGGCACCATCATCATATGTGTATTTACAGAAAAATAAACTAAGGGTCTGTTTGGGCAGCTGCAACTCATCCTGATAAGCTACAAGATAAGTTGCTGATCAACAACTCATCCAGATAAGCTGGCTGGATGTTTGTGACAGCTGTTTGGAAACAACCAATTTACAGTTTTTTATGGATAAATGACCATTCTGCCACTATTAAGTAATGTTGTTTGTAACAGAATTATCTTGACAATATATTCGATACTGCAGAAGCAGAAAAGTAAATTATATTTTTTTTAGAGTGTATCTATATATTGAGTCTTTTCATTTTTTATCCCTAAAAGATCATAATACTGTCATCATGATTAATTATCTAGACACAATTTTTCATTATAATATATAAGATTGGAGATCAAAGATACTTTTTGATGCGGCATTGGTCATTGGAAACTAATGGTTGTGTAGCCATTGTGCAGATGTTATGAAGAAGATTTGGTGCAACTTTAAGCCAAAATATACTTTTTGGATACATACAAACAATTAGCAATTTTAAATCAGATCGATACAAAATTCATCTGAATATGGACTTATAAATACCCCCTCTCCTTCACTGGCAAAAGCTAATGGATACATGAGCTCAATGCTATTATAATAAATGATTTGGTAAAAACTTTTTGAAAGAAAATTAAATATTGAAAATCAGGTGTTCCAATGATTTAATGAATTTTATGTTGAAGATCGTATCCTCATAATCTCTGGAAGGTTTTGTAAGTGATTTTCATTGTTTACTTTCAACCTTGCCACAAAGCGAAGCCCTTGAGGTAGGTGGGATCCTGCTTGGCCCTCTCCTGGAATTTCTTAAACCATCGGTCAAGTATATTCATAGGCACCACGAGCAGAGAACCATCCATGCCGCAAAATGATTGCATAAAATTGAAGAGATCCTCACCAACCTGCAATGCAAGCTGCCCGATTCTCTTCTCCGCGCCGGCGTCTACCATCGGAGGCAATGCCGCAAGCTTCTGAGCAGATACTCGATTCTTGGCTGCTGCGCCGTCGACCTGGATGGCTCCCGCGTAGCGTTTGTCATGTCAGCATGGTAGGGCCAAGGGAGGGAGAGGGCAGCTGAGGGGCAGGTGTTGTGGACGGCCCCGCAGAATAGGAGAGGCTGGCCGGGGGAGCTTCGACGGTCTTTGTAAGCCGTGATCCCTTCGTTGCCATCCCAGCTTTGTATCGTGAAGGTTTGTTCATGAAGTTGATGATTTTGGTCGCGAGAGAGATGGGATCGCGAGAGACAGATGAGACACGAGAGAGACGAGACGAGGGAAGCGGGGTAAAAGTTCTAACGAACTTGGGCCGCGGGGTAAAAGTTCTAACGAACTTGGGCCGTGGGGTAAAGGTAAAAGTTCTAACGAACTTGGGCTGCGGGGTCGATCCCTCGACTGCTTTTATTAAACAATCAAATACGGTGTTTTCTAAAACGCACTCCGAATGCATTTACCAAACGGGACGACGACGGAAAACGCCACCCGCACTTATAAGCTGCCCCAAACGGGGCCTGAAAAAGTAATAAATTAAGAAATAAATTAACAATATTAATTTTAAAATAACAATGCAATTGCCTTGGTGGAGACATCTTGTGTTTTAAAGTAGTGTAAAATTTTATATTTGTATAAATTTTTCTGTTCCTGCTTGGATTGGGTGTTCTTGGTACTGGATCTGGTGTTGTTATCTGTAATCCTCGAATATATCTGGTGTTGTTGTTCTTAAACCTTGACTTACTGGTAAAATAATAGTTTTGTTTAGTTTCTATTTGTGTTAATTTTTGAAATGCACTAATGTTTAATTTGTTACTTTCTCAGGTAGTTGTCTCTTTAAGTGTTAGATCATGTTACGTTAAAGTAGATGATGATGGTAAGAAATGGCTTCAATTCTTTAATACCATTTTTTTATGATTAAATATATTTTTACTTGTTAACATTTGCTGATTGCTTGCTTTATTTCATAGTATAAAATGCTTTTGTCTTTTAGGATGTGGGATTTCTCGTGATGGATTGGTTATTTTGGGGGAGAATAATGGTAATTATTTTATCTCATCCTTTTTATTTTCCATCTTAGTAATTGAATGCGACTTATAGAATTTTCCTCAGTTTTGCTTTCAGTATTTTCATTAACATGCCGGATTGCATTTTGCCTCAAGTTTATTACAATTGCTGTTTAGTTTTATCGCAGTATCCATGCAGTCCTTTACGCTCCTTATCATAAAACTATGAAATGATTTCATTGATCCCAAATCTTTAACAGAATATTAGGCTGCTCACTATCATATAGAGAGAGGGAGTGAGTTGATTTTTGACTACTGATTAGTTTCAGTGTCCATGCAAAAATCCTTTTAATTTCTCCAGATAATGGGGCCTTATGTTATGTTCAACTCTAAGCTGCCCAATTTGATGATGGGCAATCTTCTTGTTCTTCATGTTGCACTGGTAGAACAGGATAAAACAATATACAGCAATGGGCTTAAAGGGTTTGAGTTTTTGGATAAATTACATCCAGCTTCCTCAAGATTCAACCATAACAATTAACTGCACTATTTTCCTTTAGTGCTTAAAAACATATGGGTCCTTCTATGTAATGATTTTATGCGGGAGAGATGTAATTGTCAAATTTTAGCGTTGGTGGATTTCATCATTGCTATACAAGGTGAGGGACTTCAATTTAATTTACCTTGTTTTTTTTCTTTTGTCTTTCGAAGATTTGTTTTTGAGAATAATGGCCATTCAAAGAAACCAAAATTCCATTTTTTATTTTGTTTCCTCTACAAGCAATAATTAAATGTCTTTTCATTTTATGAATTGAAGGACCAATTCCCTTGAGAGGGAGTTTGAGAGATTGTGACACAACCAGTCCCAACCCAAAAACTTGAAATACTAAGGCAGGAACATAGTGTTGCTTAAGGAAAAACTATCTAAACATTTTTCTTTCCATGAATCAAAACATCTTAAACATAAAATAATCATTCTATTTCATAAAACTTTAATCTCTTACAATTGAAAGAGAAGTAAAACTAAAATGTTATATTAATCTTTTTGATTTCCCTGATGTTTGTACATATATTTTCTAGGGTCCATTTATTTTATAGCTGTTTTTTTTGAAAAATATTAGCTGCTGAATGTAACAGTTAAATTACTTAGTAAGTAAAATATCTCTAAATTATAATAATTCATATTTTAAAAATATTTTTTAAAAAAGCAGTGAACAGTAAAAATAAGAGACAGTAAAGAAATCTATTTTCTGGTTATTTTTATTTATTTTAGTTATAATATCTATCAATGGGAGTCGAAGTCTAAACGTATACTAGAAGTATACGCTTAACGTTTCTCAAAATCTATAAAAAATACAAGCAACCTTTTCTATTTTCATTTTACGTGCATGTTTATATTGCATCCCTAACAAGTACAATCTGGAGGTGACTCCACATATGCATGCATATATCTTATTTTATTTATTTATTTTTATTTACAACAACAACAAGCCTTTATCCCACTAAGTACGGCTAGCCACATGATTTATTTTTCTCCATTATATCATATGTAGGCTTAAAACCGATCTTTAATGATACTTGGTCAATCCTCCTTGTATTCGAACACAAGTAACAACTCTACTATACATACCTTTAATGACTTCATTATAAGTAATATTATTAGAATATTAATATGCATAATTTTGTATTAATTTCTTTAATTTGCTTTTATTTACTTTTTTTTTTCCTTTATTCATTTTTTAAAAGTGTTTTCTACTTTCCTAGCTCGGCTTCTAGTGAGGGGGAAGTTAGAGTTCTTGGACACTGTTTCTTATCCCACTCTTGTGGATGATCGTACCACTCCACCTACCATTGAGGAACCCTCTGTTTCTTTGGTTGCACCCACTTCTCCTACCACCAAGGAGTTCTCTACCCCTTTGAATCCACCAGCACATCCTCCCACTATCAGTGTCTACACTCAACGCACTTGTCCCGATGCACCTAATTTGGAGCTTGCTTATATAAAGATCACTAAAATAAAATTTTATAATTATAAGTTTCACTTAAGACTCTTTATAGAGAAAACGAGCGGTTGAAATGAATGGTTATAAGGTGGGAGGTGGCTAGAAGGAATGCACCAGGTGGAGGAGGTTGTGGCTGGAGTTGCAGGAAGACAACCAAATGTCGTCTGATGATTCTGGCAGAGAGGATAGGCGATGACAGTAGTGAGGGCAGGGATGCAGGGGATGGAAAAGTAAGTGTCCTGGAAGAGCGAGCTATAGCCGGAGCACCACTCGATCTATTGGAAGGAGATCACCACCTCAGACGAGCTACATCCGGAGTACCAATTGCCTTTGGATACAACTGTAGAAGAGAGAAAGTGCGCTGATGGCTGTATCGACAGAAATTACACCTCAAAACTGCAAATCTGGAACAAAGGAATCACATAAATACGGCTAGATACTTAGGATTGGACCCCCCACTATGGAAAGGAGGCACCAAACCAATGTAGGAGGACAGGTTAACCCTCCCATATCTTGGCCGGTTTGGTCCAGACAAGGAATTGCAGAATCGGCTCCTGTGACTCTTTACGCCTGCCTCACTATAGTTACAACATCACCAAGCTGTATCAGTTTTTGGGACTTTATTTACTTTCAGGGTCAAAATTGGATATATCTATCTTGGTTTTATCTTAAAAAAATACAAATTCTCCTATTTAAAATTCTATCATTTTATGATTGGGATCATAATACTTTTGTTGACTTTTCAGGGCAGCTTTCAATCTGTTTTAGATTTTTTTTGTCTTTTAAAGTAGTAGCTTTATCTATTTATCGTGGCACTGATAGCTGTCTGTTGACTTTCAACCAACTCAGCGGAGTCCTGTATTTTTTGTGTTATAATGCTTTATATGATGTCATCTTGATGCTAGATTGTTAGCTATTTTTATAAAAGAATTCTATCTCTGAAATGCGATATTCTCAGCTATCTTTAAAATCTAAAACATTGCTTGTCAGTAAATCTTCTAACACTTAAATATTTCTTTTTGGTTGACCATTAATCTGGGGATAAAATGCTGTGCTAAGATATAATTTAGTACCAAAATTTTCATGAATAGGTCTTTCTCTGGTTTGGATTTAAGTATGTTATATGCTTCCGACAAAAAATTTTTTAGGAACACTATGAAATTTGATAATTTTCTTTACAAATAGTATTGCTAATTTCTCTGCAAAATCAATCTAGGTATACATATTTAGTATGCTGATTTTGTTTATCTATTAATCACAGCCTAAACAATTTTTGACAAGATTCATTACTATATTTTTTTCACTTATGCTCTGGTATTGGCAGTGAGTGAATAATACGCCACCTAGTTTCTGGTGTTCTGTTTTAACTACTTGAAATGCTTTATATTTGACTACATACTCTGTTGCATATTTTTTTTTATCTCAGCTCATCAAAATAATGATTTTGAATTTTTATATATTCTGTACTTCTTGGATGAATTGAATAACTCGAATTGTGAGCCTCATATAGAATTTCTTGAATCAAGTTTGACTCTTTTGCTATCCATATATGCAAATTACTTCTAGTTTCACTCTGCTCACTAAGCCGACATCTCTTTTTGTATTTGTATGCGCTTGATGGATAGTCTCTGATATTTATTACTAGCTTTGTGTGCAACTTTGATTCTATTCTCAAGAGTAGATTGAACATTCATCTGATATAAATTGAGTGTGTTCTGATTATTGATTTTGGCTTTCTCTAATCATCTCTGCTTTTTGAGTTATCCAGTTTGCATGCTCATTAAATTTTTTGCTTAGTATATCGGCTATTATTTTGCCCTTTCAGGATAATATTGTATGTCAAAGTCATAATTCTTTATTAGCTTTAATTGTCTTCTATCCCTTAAATTCAAATTTTTTTGAGTGAATATATTTAAAACTTATGTGATCAGGGAAGATTTTTTATTTTACTTCATATAGATTAAAGTAAATACTATTGCAATTAATTTCAAATTATGTGATGGATAATTTCTTTATTGAGACTTAAATTATTTGGAAGCATGTGCAATCAATTTTTTATAAGCCTTCAGGGAAGCATCATTATATATTTGAAATGATTTAATTACTGCTGGAAGTGTGTTGTGGATACCAAACATTTCTCAAGTTGTAAGAAATTTTGCTCACATTTATCATTTCAATCAAATTTGATATCTTTTCTTGTCAGTCTAAATATTTGTAGTGCAATATGTGAAAATTCCCATACAAATTTTTTGTAGTAGCTTGTTAATTGCAAAAACTTTTGATCTCAATTACGATGTTCAGTTTTGGCCATTCTAATATTGCTATCACTTTTTCAGTGTCTATTGCTATATATCCTCAGTCCTTACCAGTAATGATATGCCCCAAAAAAAGCAATGACCATCAGCTAAAACTCGTATTTAGAGAACTTATCAAATAATTTGTGCTCCCTCAATAAGCTCAAAACAATGCTCAAATGTCTGGCATGATTATCATTATTCTTATAGTAGACATATATTATCAATAAATACTATCATGAATTAATCAAGTTAAGACTTAAAATTTAAATTCATTATATTCATAAATCTTGTTCCGTTCTTTGTAAATTTAAAAGACATAACAAGAAATTCATAATGCTCATACCTGATATCAAATGCTGTCTTCTCAACCACACTATATTTAACTCTGACTTGATGATACATAGCTCTCAAATTAATAAGTGAAATTATTGAAGCTCCTGGTTGATCAAATCATCAATTCTGAGAAGAGGATTTTTTTTAACAACCACCTTATTTAACTCTGTTGACAGCACACATCATCTAACCATCATATTTTTTAACAAGCAGAATAGGGGCACTTCGTAGGTTTGTATTTGGTTTGATGAAAACATTCTCAATCTGTTCTGATAATTGAAATTCAGTTCTTGTAATTCTTTATTGGCCATACGGTAAGGTCTTTTCATAATCGGTGCAGTTTATAGTTGAATATCATTCATAAGCTTTACTCTCTTTGTTGGAAAACCAACAAGTGCTTTA